TATATATAAATTTAAAAACGGTTTGAATGAAAAAGAAAGAAGAGGTTTAACAATTGTGAAAGTTGTGAGAGAAGTAGTGAAAAGTGCCTTATATATATACTAATTTTAGTAACATTTTAGTTAGATTTTTTTATTATTTCCAAAATATTAGAAATCGTAAATTTCTTTTTTTTTTTTAGAAAAACGTTTTTAAAGATATTAGAAATGGTAAATTTCGTTTTTTTTTATTTTTTTTAAATCAAAACGTTTTTAATTTTTTTTGCCTAAATTTTGGTTTAATCTTATTTTAAAAATAGGTTGATTGAGTACGAAATTAAGTATTTAACCATAATAATTTAGACCGGTTTGTTTTACGTGTTTTTTGACACGTCATCAAATGAGAACCAATTAAAAAATGACACGTAATTGGAAAATATGGCTAAACGGTCTTTTTGCAGTTGAAACTCATTCTAAAACTGACACGTAAGCGAAAAACGGTGAAACTCGCTGTGAGCACAACACGTAAGCAAATCACTACACAAATAAGTATATAGAATCTAATTTTTGTTTCTTTATACATTTTTGTTAGATTTTTTCTTAACTTCGAAAACATAAAAAATGGTAAATTTCTAGTTTTTTGTGTTTTCTTTTAAAAAAAAAAACGTTTTTGTCTAATTTTTTTCTAAATTTTGGTTTTATATAAATTTAAAAACGGTTTGAATGAAAAAGAAAAAAGAGGTTTAACAATTGTGAAAGTTGTGAGAGAAGTAGTGAAAAGTGGCTTATATTTAATTATACTAATTTTAGTTAACATTTTAGTTAGATTTTTTGATTATTTCGAAAATATTAGAAATGGTAAATATTATTTTTTTTTTTAGAAAAACGTTTTTAAAGACATTAGAAATGGTAAATTAAGTTTTTTTTTATTTATTTTTAATTAAAAACGTTTTAATTTTTTTTTGCCTAAATTTCGGTTTAATCTTATTTTAAAAACGGTTTGATTGAGTACAGAATTAAGTATTTAACCATAATAATTTAGAATAGTTTGTTTTAAGTTTTTTTGACATGTCATCAAATGAGAACCAATTAAAAAATGACACGTCATTG